TATAACAAGCAGCTTGTAAAGAGATCATATATGGGTGGCTAACTGAATAGGCTATTTACCCGATTCCCGAAACTTTTTGGACAAAATTTTCATAAAGATACCGCTCCGTTGCGTTGCTTTTAAAAGCCATTAACCATTTTTCGCCCACGAGTCGTACAACAACCTTAATCCAGCTCTTAAAAAGTAAGGCTACTTTCCGAGCACGAAAATAAGAACAATTTTGACAAGTAAGTATGCTATAGTCGGGCAACCTACATACCCTACCCCACTTTCTTATACAATATTCTAAAAATTTTTATTTAAATGTATTACGCTCATGAAAGCCGCCTTGCCGGAGAATAGTCAAAGACCAAGCAAACTTAATTTACTTATCAGAGATTTTATAGTAAACCACAAATGGGACTTTGTCGCCACAGAAAAGTTCGCTTTCATCAGAGCCCCCATATATATATGATGTGATCTAGAAAAAAGATGCAAGAGATCCAAGTTGCCCTATGATAAATATATGAAGGATTCATTTTCATCATTAATTGTTAAAAATAAGAACTTTTTCGCATGTCATAGCTTATTTTCCATTGCAATCCTTATAAGGGTTGATATCGAACAAATGCAACTTCGTAGTCGAATTTCGATAAAGTTATTTTTTATTTTAAATTATTATTATGAACGAGTTTGAAAATTAAGCCTTTTTTGTAGAAACGATTGGCAGGCATGGCAGGCATGGTCATCAAAATATCCCAAAAATTGCAGGCAGGCGGAAAGACAAGATTACATTGTCGCAAAAAATGATGGCGAATCGAAAGGTGAACCTACCTCAAATATTGCGGGGTGTAATATACCCAACAATCCCATGTAGGGTACAAAAAAATTACTTATCAATCACTAATGTTAATAAAGAGAACGAAACAAAAAAAAAAACTACGCATCGCCTTAGAAAATTTCACTATAAATCTATGTCTACATAGAAATTCGAAATCAATTAATTGAAACTTGACCTACGTTAATGATACAGAACAGTTCGAAAAGTATAGTTTCGAGAAAAAAGCGACTAAACTTCTCAATAGGCAAACAGTTCCATTTCAGTAGTTTCATGTGACCTAAGACATTTCATATATCATTCTGGAAAGAAAAAAAAAAAAAACCCGATTTAGAAAATATGGACATTTTTCGTACATTTTTTAGTTTTTTTTTATTATTAAAAACTGACCAAACAAAAAGGATAACATGAACAAAAAGAACAAAAAATTAATGATAAACAATAGATCGACGAATAAAATCACCTACACAATGGGGAAAAAATATTGAACAGCTTGTATTTCGAGAAGCGGAGAAAAAAAAAAAATAAATAAATTCAGCTGCCATCAATGTTCAATTAAGGTTTACAACAATACCAAAAATTAACGGTCACTATCGGAAAGATTTTAATTACTTTTTATTTGACGATTGTTGTTTTTGTTGTTGTGATTGTTTTTTGTTTTTTTTTTGGCACAAGCAAAAATTTATTATCATTATCAATGAAATCTTTCGAAAACAGCGAGTGGTGATCCGGACAATAGGTCACCATCAAAGGCACCAACAGCAACTAAGCCATGTATATATATATATATATAAAAAGAAAGGAAGAAAAATGAACAAACTGTCACAAATGCATGCATACATGCATGCATACATGTATTTGTCAAAAGGTTTCAAGTAAAAATTACGTTACACATTTTTGAGGTCATCTTAGAGGTTGACATGATCATTACTAATACTTACTTACTTACTTACTTCCTTACTTCCTTACTTCCTTACTCAGAATGCGTTGCATGCGGCTGCAGGCGAACACAATATGAATGGAACGAGAGTTTAGGTATACATTTATGCATTATGCAGTTCATTTGTGCATTAAATGTTAGATGAACTCCGGCTTACTCCGTAATTTTTCGGACTAGAAGACGCCCCTGTTTACGTAGAAAATAAATTCAACTTTCGGATGAATCTTATGGTCCAAAAAATAGCACCATGACAAGCAAGCCAATCCTACACTCTTTGTCCAGGATCCTCGATAGCTAGTATTAGGTTTAATCTGTAATCGTATGCGCTTTTACACGATTCATTTGAATTTGCACGATTCTATGAATCCTTAAAATTTTTATTCTAAAAGTAGGAAAAATGAGTCTGCGATCTTCGTGTGTAATCAATTCCGAACGCATTACAACACCAAGATTCTGAATGCAGAAATAGCAGTCATTCCTGGAGGCCTCACAAGTCAATTGCAACCCAGATTAGTCTCTACCAATAAACCATTTAAAAATGTTAGGCTAGAAAAGTGGAATAAATTTCAAGAGCGGGAAAGTTTTTAATGAAGCCGATAACCTTAAATGCTAAGTGCTAGTGCTCTAAGACTTTAGTCGTCTTCTTAGAATTTCTTATTATTATTATTGTTATTATTATTATAATAATAACATAATATATGAATAAATTCGAAGACTAAAGTTTTAAAGCACTAGCATCTAAGGCTTTCGACTTTAGTAAAAATTCTACCGCACTTGCGGTACTTGAACCCACGACCATTGTGAGCGGCTAGTCGAGACTCTTGTCTACTCGGCCACTCAGGCGGATAGATTTTCTTTTTTTTCACTAAATTAATAATAATAGAATTATTTACCCAAAAGATTATAATTATTTATTTATTTATTTCAATTAATGCAGTACACGAAGCCCTTTAAGGGCTAATGAGTGGGAGGCCTGAATATGACAACAAAAGTGTTATATTAAATTAAAGAAGGAAAAAAAACGAAATAAAGGACGCACATAACTAGCATAGAGGCACACTCACAACCGGTACAGATCCAAGTTGCAAAGGAGCCCCTAAACCATTGCAAACATGCATAAGCTTGACAACCGATAGCAGTCGAAACAATCAGTCAGTTAATTTTCGAATCATAGCGAGATGTTAGGTTTGTTAAGTTTGCAAGTTAATTTAAATATATATACACACATATCAAGCCTAACTGTTTTGATGGACTTTAAAGCGTCCTATATTGGGGTTAAGTGATAAACATCGTTTAGGTTTCTGCAAACAAGTCGAACGGACTAAACCGTTCGTAATGACTATATTCACATTGTCTAACCTTAATGAAGATAAACTTCGCAGAGATACGAGTAAGGACATTAAAGTTTATCTCACTATGTAGTGCGATCGGATCGAGTAATTAAGTTAATTAAAATAGAAATGCCGTGAATAAATGTACGTTTCTCGAGTGAAGGATAAGACGAGCAATCTATTTTTATACAGAGGCATAGAGAGAAGCGGGTCCCAAACCTAATTGCTTGAAAACTCTTCGACGAATGTATTATATTGAGACAACTATATCCAAACTATATTGAGATAATTATACCTAAACCTTACCATGCCGAAGAACACCCCGCTTATTTATTGAATAATATGACTCTTTAAACTTCATTTAAATGTGAAGATAACTCCACGTTTTTCCTTACTCTATTAGTTCATGTCACGGATGTGAATATTAAAATCTATTGCGCTTACCTAATAACAAAACAAGTAAAAATAGACCCCAAGTGTTAGAGGCAGAAGAAGCAATCCAGTGTTACACCTTTAGCAGCTATGTAAATCAGCAAAATGCCGCATATAAATATGACACTTTAGGTCTGTTTATTGTAATTGTGAGGGCGGTTCGTAAGTTTGTGTTCTTTTTATTAGGATGGTCCTTAACTTACATAAAGACGGAGACAGAGAGATAGAGACAGAGCGACTGAGAGAGAGTGTTTGATCATACAGTTTATAGAACCTTCTAGAATAAATGATATTTTGAAATCTTCTCAATAGCGCATCTGTATTTACAACAACAATATTGTTGAATTTTGAATCCTTAAATGAACGGTATACGTATAACAGCTACATTTGATTTGTAAGGTTGATATTCATGGTAGTATTGTTTTTGTTTTGTTGCTGTTGTTCTTGGTTGCGTTGTCACACACGTTTCAATACGTGTGTGTGTGATGTACATTCTTCTACTATTCTAAAGATATAACTAGATATAACTAGAGAATTAAATTTTTTTTTTTTTTGCAGGAAGCAGCAAATTTCGCAGACTTTTTCAATCATGTGTCCAACTGCAGTGCCGTGGACACAGGCAACTGCAAGTGCATGGACATAAGAAACATGCGTTTTTTTTTAGAATTAGCATTGAATACATCCCAGTAGAACTGAGTTTAGTCACCGACTATAATAAATTTAGAAAGTACCGCAGCTTCCTAAAAGCATATATAAAAACGATGCAAAAGTTGTTATCATAACAGCGGTTAAGACACCAGCGCCTTGAGAAATGGCGATCTAAACAAACAAGCCGAATACCAATGCAAAACCGGAGAGTATAAGGATAAGCAACAAGAATCAGCTTTTGAACAGGTTCAATTGAATCTACATAACATCGATAAGAAGGAGAACGCGCAACAATTACTAAGCACATGTAAAGCCTTTTTGTAATCTAAGACTCCTTAAACTCGTTGGACCCTAGCACGAACCTAGCTTTACTAAAAGCGAGCTCAATGTGCAAATCCAAATATAATCTTTGATCGAATATAACCTCCAAACCAACGACGAATACGAATCTACGTTTCCCAACTTGTGTATGAATTGATGAATCGACTCAGTATTGAATCACTTCCTCCATGTGCCACTCACCGATGTATTCGAAGCGGATGCTTTACACTTACCTATATTGCATTAAAGGAGCCCCATTCATTCACTAGTCTATTTGTCAAGGAGGCTCTAGCCTATTGCAAAGGGAATCCAGTGTATAGGACAACTAGTCTCTACTTCTCTGAATTCTCCCCTAGAAATAGGCTAAGTATCTCCTAATCATCTAAGAGAATAATTGCAATTAAAATTCTATCAACTCAATATTACTTTTAGAATTAAGGGAGTTTTCCAACAACTTTTTATTGACAAAATGTTATTCTTTAATGTATTTTCTTTTGGTTTATAAAAAAGTATTTAAGTGAAACATATATAACAGAGTAATTTTTTGTTTTTTGATTAAAGAACAAAAGTATAATTTCTTTACAAACTAGAAAACAACAGTCCTTTCTTACGCAGCCTTGTAATTACGTTTGCAACAATGAAAAACGAAACTTCATTTAAAGTTCTTTAAAATATTTTCGTATTTTTTTTGTTATATCACGCAGAAGATCAGCAACTTCATTGCAATATTCATTATTCGATTTTCCATGTTCGAATTGCAATGCATTTAATGTGTAATATAATTGCTCACTGCTTCCCCATATTCGATTGCAGAAAGGTTCTGTGCTCTCTAACGCATGTATAAAATATTCCAATAAATCAGGAGCCTTTAAGAATTCATGATAGTAACTGGTCATAAGTTTATCGGTAGTTTGACAATACCAGTTATCTTTTAGTCTTTCGGGGAAATTTAATTCTGCGTATTGAGCAGCAGCGACAGGATCATCATTAATTACAATTAACTGTTTTTCAACAACCACATCGCTAATTAAAGTAATTGCCTTTGCTTTAATTTTTAATTCACAATCTTTGCCGAGCAGAGACACTAGAGCTTGTGTACCCGATGTAGACAAAATTTTTTGTTGAGCATGAGGAAATTTACGTAATAAACTTCCAAGAGCATATAATGCTGAAGACAGCTCTTCTGTGTTACTGGATGAGAGTAATATCTGGGTAAGGTATGGGCCGAAATTCTTTTCATAAACTTTTACCTGAACTTTCGGATTATTTTGGGCCATAGCACCTAAAACGCGCATTGCTTCTACTTTTAAGGATAAATGTGTCTGATTGACAACAAGTGGTAGCAGTATTCGTTCCAAGCCCCCTTGATCCACAAACGTTAGCGCGTTATCATATTGAGACATCAAATAATTGAAATTAGTTAATATTTTCAATTGAGCATTCAGTCGCGACTGATCATTTTGCTTGTTATATGTTATAACATCTCCAAATTCTTCGATAAGTCGTACAATAATTTCGGCATCGGTTTTAAAATGTTTACGCATACCTTCGTAAGTTTTTCGCAGCTCTTTATAAGATTTGTAATCATTTTTGATTTTCTCTATTTCACTTGAGTTGTGTTCAATGGCTAATTGCTCTGAACTATTCCTTAAACGGGAAGAGTTTTTTAATTCTTCCTCATCCACGCTGTCGTAAATTGTTATTAAAGCATTAGAGTTTTTTGATTCATCATTTGTTTGTCCAGCATTTAATTGCTCCTCATTATCCGTTATTAGCTTAGCTTCCTTTTTACCAGTTTGTAAATTTATTCGGACGTGCAATCCGGCTGGTATGCCTTGTCCTAAATTATTAGATACACATAAATTACATTGGAAAAGATTAATAGATTCTTCAGTTTACCTTCTTTTATTTCCTTCCATTCTTTAGTAGCTATGAACGATGTATTCTCCGCGATTTCCTCTGCTGAGATCATTCGCGACAGTAAAACGCACACCGCTAATTGTAATAAAAGCTCCATTGCTCTCTCTTCCTGGTATATTAATTATGAAATTATCTAATATAAATGAATAGTTTGTTTATTTTAATACAAATAATTTTCGCCGAACTTTTTTATCGGTTTTTTCTGAAATTTTTACGCAGCATGTTTACATTATATTATTCAAAGCATTGCCATTACCACAAAAAAAAAACGGAAACAGCTGATATTAGATAACTGTAGTCATTAAATTATTTAAATAACCTGAGCTATTGGTTATAAATTATATAAATAACCTAAGCTATTGGTTACTTTATTTTGCATTTATTGTTTATCTACAAATTCGAACCTTTAACCGCATTACGCATGTTTGTAACGCAGCGTGGATAATAAAATAGATGAAGTCATTTCCGTTGTCGGATCGGAACCGTATGCGGATTGTGCTGCGGATTTTAAAGTCTTGTCTATAAAAATAAATTTGTTCACAAAATTTTTTCTTGCTAAGTTCATTATTTCGAATTTTATAGTCAAGTAAGTCTATAGCTGATTAGAAACCAAGCCCACCATCTTTTCTCTTAGCTTTCTTGAGAAATTTGAAGTTAATCTTCCTTTCTCTCCTTTTCTTTTTAATTTGAGACTGTTTGCAAAATAAATCTACATTGCTTTTATTCACATATGTTTAAATTGCTATCACCAACGTTTGTTTCGAATTTGCGGTTGTTCTTTGTTGCTCTTATATAAAGGCGATCGAATTTACGAATTTACTTTTCGATGATCTATTATATTATTTAATTGCAAACCTAAACATTAACATTCATCTCCAAGGAATTTCATAAAATGTTAGGAAGCGCCGTGGAACACCGACAAAGAGAAGGGTGCTGCCAGGACTGTGGAAGAATAATTATAAAAAAAACTGTTAAAAAAAACGAATTTATCAGTTCAGCAACATGCAAGTAATTAAATTGTGCTCATATGATTTTTTAATATTACTTGTATACTTTTCGTTTATTATTTTTCAAAAAAAATTTCTTTTTATGAAAATTAGAGGAAATGAAAACAAACAAAGCTTTCGACATTATCATTTTTGGTGCTAGCGGTTTCATAGGTCGACACACTGCTTTAAAAGCTGTAACGATGTTTAAAGATTTAAGTTGGGCTGTAGCGGGAAGAAATAGGGAAAAGTTACAACTCATTGTGCGTCAAATTGCTGAAAGAACCCTTAAAGATTTACGAGAACTACCGATACTAATTGCTGATGTAAAGGATGAACACTCAATTATTAGAATGGTGGAAGATTGCGAGGTAAATTATTTGTAGAGGATAAAAAATCACGTTTTAATTTGACTTTCCGAAAGTTGAATGTTTTAAAATTTTAATAAATTTAAGGTTTTAATAAATTGTTGTGGTCCAATTCAATTATGCGGCGAAGTGATAATTAAAAATTGTATCAAATCGGGTACCCATTATGTTGATATCAGCAACGATCCGTATTTTAATGAATTAATGCAATTGAAATATCACGAAAGTGCAGAAGAGAATAATATATATGTAGTGTCGGCTTGTGGTTTTCAAAGTTTTGCAATGGAAATGGGTCTAAATTTTATGCAAGAAAACTTTAATGGTAATTTATACTTTTCGTTTACTATTAAAACAAAATAAATTGGTTGCGCGCTTTTACGTTCAGGAACCATAAATTATGTGGACGCTTACGTTAAATATGGTTGCATAAATCCGCATGTGTCTTTTGGTCCTATAGGCAGTGATACCGTTTGGAAAAGCATGATATTAGCGTGCTCAAAAATAGGGGAATTACCACATATACGGCAATGCCTAAGACGAATACCTTGGCCTTTTTTATTGCCAAAGCAACCAATTAAGTAAGTTCTTAAAAAATGTAACAAAAAAATTATGTAATTTTTCGTTTAACTTGCAGACGTCTCTTGCATCGGCCTGATCAACAAACCAGGGTCACTTTTGTTAGATTTCCTTTAATCGATCAACAAGATATCGAACGTTCACAATATTTCTTTTACAAACTTGACAAAAAGCGACCTATACAATTTTATAAATATTTAGTTTTCCCGTAAGTTTTCTGAACAAAAGTGAAGTGAAGAAGAAGCGAATAATATTCTTCAGTAGATCATTTTTATTAGCCTTTCTATTTGCTTTATGGACTTTGGTCATATCTTTAATGGCAAATTTTGACAAGACACGTGAGATAGTTATCGAATACCCACGCCTATTCTCCGTTGGACTCTTCTCACCCAAAGGACCCGATCTAAGAATTGTGGCGAACACTAAATTCCAAATGACATTATACGGTGTGGGTTGGTCAAGATATCCAACTCATTCAATTTACGAATTGAATGATGAGAGATTAGACCAAGCAATGTGTTTAGAGATTTCTGGTATTAATCCAATATATAATGTGGGTTGTTTATGTCTTCTCTTGAGTGCTTTAACTGTATTGCAAGAACAAGATGTTATGCCGAACAAGTAAGATAATCAAATATTACATAAAATGAAAGCGTACTGATTCTCTATCCAAATCTTAATGAAGCGGTGGTGTTTATCCGCCAGGTTACGCCTTTAAAGGAACCTCCGTATTTAATAGAATGGACTATTATGACAACTATATAAACATAAGAATATCTGAGCCCGTTCACAGTATGTAATTATAATCATAAATAAATTAAAACCAGTAAATTATTGTATGAAGTGTAATTAAAAAATTTATTTCACCACGTGGTTTAAAATTATTTTTTTTTTTTTTTTTAGTTTGATTGAAAGCTTCTTCCAACCAAGGCATTTTTTAAAGACTCAATTAGAAATTGCGCTATAATAATTTTTGATCAAAGAAGTGCAGGATTTGTTTCTATTGCGAAAAGTATGATATGATTATCACTGTTAGTCGGTTAGTCAGATAATGTAAACGAGTGCTTGATATCAGCGGAAATTGACGAATGGACTTTAAATAGCTCATTTTTTAACATGATTGGTTGCTTGATTGAAGAGTGTTCCAGTTTCCTGAACAGTGAAGTATGTCAAATTTATTAAATGAAAATATAATGTAAACAAATTCGTAATCTGGCTACTCCTCTACATCAGCTGAGTGAGATGAATATTTTTCTTTGCTTTGTTGAATTTACGCAAAAGTTATAAAGATGTTGTCACGATTTGGAAGTTTACGTAAACCGATATTTTCTAGTCTTTTCAAAAATAAAAATGTGATTGTATCAGCCGTGAGGAACAGTCATGCTGTTCAGTATCGCGTACCCCCTCCACCGGCTCCGAAGATTATACGAATTGGTGCTGAAGTTACATCAGCTTTTATGTGGTGGTGGATTCTTTGGCATTTGTGGCATGAATATGGACATATTATAGGAGAATTTCCATATCCCGCTACTAAAGAATGGACTAATGAAGAGCTTGGTATTCCTACAGATTGAAAATAACTTCAATTAGTAAGCATTGATGTTAAAAGAGGCTAAGAAACATCACAGAAATAAATTTCAATAATTCTATTCACTAGAATTCTAAATCTTTTTAATGGTTAGTATTTATCATGGCGAATATAACTCTGCCTCAGGCTAAGATTCTTGTTGAGGTAAAGGACGCAACCGGTCAACTCATAAGAATTTGTTTCATTTTTTCTTAATAGGCCTGATAAGAGAGATTTAGTTTAACTTTAAAAGTTGCAAGAAACTGACATCTTTAGCCACATTAAGACTGATTTACCTTTATTTTTATATAAATTTTAGAACTGGTTGTCCGGAACTTTGGCAACTTGAGCGAAGTGTATATAACATTTTACGGGCCTTTTGCTACTCTAATAAAAAAAACAATAATACAACTCTGCTGCTCTCACTTATCAGCTGATATTTATTATGAATAGAAGAAGAGAAATAAAATTATACGGCAATTAGAAATAATCACTTTCAGAGAAGCCAGATTTTCGGTGCGAATAATATATTGTTTTAGAATTTTGCAACTTATTTATAAGCCAATACAAAAGTGAATAAAATAAAATAAAATGTCTTCGTTGACTAGAGCATCACGAGTATTACAACATCATTTGAAACGCGTACAAAGTGTGCCTGTAGCACTTTATCATGAGAACGTAAGTAGGATGAGAGATGGAATATATAACTCTTGGGTAAATTTCAAGGTCTTAATTTTTTTTTTTTTTTATATATTGTGAAATTTGTGAAATAGCAAAATTGCCGGTTGTGAAGGCCCAAGCAAACTAAAGGGTTTGTTTTGGCATAAAGACAACGACGTAAATTAAAACGACATATATAGAAGTATTGCTTTGTTAAAGGAAAATGAAATGAAAAGATTAGACCAAAAACAGAATTTTATAAATATTTGACGTGTGATAGATTAACTCTGTTAATAATTTTTCAAGCAAAATTTTATTGATAAGAAAAAAATTTTGTATATAATTTCGGTCTCCAATGTAATTACAGCTGAAGCATAATTGATTTCATTATATTCGACTAAAGCATGTAGTAACTTGAAGTAAATTGAAATGAAATCACTATAAATATATGTAATTGTAAGTTAAGCAAGCTTTAAATTTGAATACATTTTTGTAACCAAAAATGAAACAAGGAAATACGCTAGGATTATGTCTATGAAATTACCATATGACGTGCCTCTGTGCGTTATTAATTTTTTGTAAAACCTATCAAGCAGAAATTTAGGAAGGAAAAAAAATCTTGACAGCTGTGTTTTTAAGCTGTAAAATAAGTTCTCATCTGATCACAAAAATCGAAAAAATAGATAGCGACCTAATTATCAATCTAAGGTATTCCTCTCTTCGTTTAGGAGGTGACTTAAAGGGATCCTAAGCAGACCTTGCGCTAAGAAAAACTCAACTGTCTTAAGTTTGCCCCAAATTGTGGAGCCATCCTTATTCATTTTTTGCCATCGTCTCTATTGTATAAACATTTGTACATATATGGGGTTTTCACAAATATGTTGATCACTTTTCCACTTGAAAAAAGCATTTGTTGTGGAAAATTGGTGCAATATATACTAATCAAAAAAGTCTCCATCATTTTCAAAATTTTTGGTAACATGATGGTATCATGTTGAAAGTTCTTATATTGTGTGATAGTAATCAACCCACCGACCCATTTTTGAACTTCAACTTTGCGAACCCGCGTGCCAGCCAACACTCGGCGCAACAGAACTTCCCAAATGCAATTTTGTGCGCTCCACGATTTAGCGTCGCCATTCGACGAAATATAGCGTTAGACGGAAAACCGTTATTCTATGTAGAGGACGGTCAAAACCATCGAATTCAAGTGTTGGTGTTTTACATTTCTATATATTTTTACCTGTAGAAGTGTCTGATTAAAATATTTGCAAACACTTAATATAAAAACCATTTATCATTGCTTTTATATAGTTTTTCTTCTTCTGATTAATTTCATTTAGGTGGTTGAGCATTACGAAAATCCTCGTAATGTAGGATCTTTGGATAAAAAAGACACTACAGTTGGTACAGGTTTGGTGGGAGCTCCTGCTTGCGGCGATGTCATGAAATTGCAGATTAAAGTCGATGAAAATGGTAAAATAATCGATGCGAAATTCAAGACATTGGTTGCGGCTCGGCCATCGCTAGTAGCTCATTGGCCACCGAATGGGTTAAAGGGAAAACTGTAGAAGAAGCGGGCAAACTTAAGAATACCGATATAGCCAAAGAGTTACGACTACCGCCTGTAAAATTACACTGCTCGATGTTGGCTGAGGATGCCATAAAAGCGGCCTTAGCTGATTACAAAGTAAAACAGCAAAAGAAAGCTGACCAAAATTAAAGGAAGTTAAAAAGAGAGAAGAAAAAACAAAATGAAAGAGATTTGTTTCTAGTAATTAAAAATTGCTTGTTTTGAAAAAAAAAAAAAAAAACTTTAGTTTAGTCAAAGAAATTTGTTAAAGAAATTTTCTTAACGAAAATTCTGATTAATTTTAAACGATAATAAGAAAAAATAAACGAATATATATATATATATATGTATGTATTAAGTTTTGTAACGAAGTCGGGCCCTAGTGAAAGAATAAATTAAAGTCTGATGTTTAAGGATTACGTTGGCGGGTAATTGAAAACAACCTGAAATGCAACCTATGGAAACCTATATTATTAGATTAAACACAAAATATATATTAACTGCTTTAAAAATAAATTGTGCTTTAATTTATTGAATATTCAACAGTGACTTGTTTTTTTTTTTGCATACATTAATTATTGAAGAAAATTTCAAGATAAACGAACACTGACATTACCACCGCATTCTCCTTTAGATTTCACTTCGAAAGCTGAAATAGAATTAAAAAAAAAAAACAAGTAAGAAAATTATATTGGGCGAGGGCCGAATCTCATATACCCACCGCTATGCTTTTCATATTCTACTCTTTAAGTTCTTTTATTATAGCCATATCGCTGGTACTATTGAGAAAAAATTTACCACGGTATCTATCATCTTCATTTTAAAATTAAGCCATTTTTAGGTAGATATATCTTCTAATGAAGAGGGTTTAAAATATTCTCTCTCTTGTTTGTTTTATTATAAATCGGCATAAAACCTCAAAAAAGTGAAAAAATAAAATGTAAATACACATAACTTTGTGTGGACGTGGCCGATTGGTTCCATTTTCCATGGAAGTAAAGAGTAGAGTATTTCGTAAAGTAAATGTGGACAATTTCAGCCTTTTAGCTTTAATAATTGGAGATATGCCTAAATTGACTGAGAATTTTACGCTGATCAAGAATATATATAATTTATGGGGTCCTTGAAAAAAAATGAGTACACCCCTATCTTACAGTGATGGGTATAAAAAAAAGAATATATATATATATATATATATACATATATTTAAAGTAATTATTTTGTACTTACGATCATCGCTATGTTGACAATTGTAATTACCCATTACGCATTCATTTCCAAAAGTCAGCAAACGCTCTTTGCTACTATTCTTGGTCTTGGCGCAAACCGGCTCATATTTTTCACCGCAGTCGCGCGAACAAGACGGATTTTGTGCTGTTTTGCCCGGCTTAGCAAAAATTGCAACAGCGAAGCATGTGACTGAAGGATATAAAAAAGAGAAAATATTTAACTGCAGGTTATTTCCACATCCAGTCATTACCGCAGTCGTCAGTAGCTACTACTCTTAATAAATTATTTAGAACCTTTTTCCTAAAGTGCGGCAACGGTACTTTCGAATTTTTAAATTAAAATTTTAGCCGTTTCTTAATAAAATCCCCAAGTCTAGTTCTAAAATTTTTACGTTGCGTTCGTAAATGAGTTTGATCAATAATCGGAACACATTTTAAATCGATATTTGTGGGTATACGAATGAAAATATATGGAATCCTTGGAATCCAAGTTTTCATGGAGTTTAGATCCATTTAAGTATTACCTATTCCCATTTCCAGATTTGCTTGTTGGCCATATACTAAAAACATTTGGAGTCAATTTATCCGTCCGTGCGACTTAATGTAATGTAATGTGTGTAATAGTAGACAAATATCAGTTTAGAATCTTACATTGATCAAGAATGTGTACAAATATTTTATGGAATCTCTGATGCGTACTATTAGCGCTTAAGTTTGCCATCATTTTTCATAGGCGTAGGAGCTTTTCCGTATTTTCATGGATAACAGCAGGGGTAACCAAATAAAATTGAATTAAAACTTATCGATCAAGATATGTTTTGTAGGTGTGAATTATTTTTGCTATCCAAGCCTCTCCCGGGCTATAATCTGAAAATGATTCGGCTACCAGAACGAAGGGACCATTTAATGTATCTAATTAAGTGTTCTGAACGATGAAGATAGGCGTGGATCGTTTTTGGCATCCAGGTTTCTGCACTAGATTCTATTGTCGCTAACAAAACCAATAGCGAACTATGTCCTGCAAATGATTTCGCCGGACCTTATCACTTTCTCGGGAGTTTTTCGCGAATCCCATTGCTGATTTCAGCATTAGCATAATTCAAACTGTGCACACATCTTTTTAATCCAAAACTAATACAATGCCAAGGTCACTTTCCGTATCTTCAGTATAGTTGTTGTTGATTCAGAATCATTTTTTAAATCGATCTAAGCCTGCGAGTCTGTCTGTCCGTCCGTCGATATAACGACTATATGGAAAAAAATTTCTCAGCAAGAGTGACTAAGCAGTAGTATTTCGGTAATGGAAATTGGTATAAGAACTTTGGACGGGCTGGGCCAATTTTTTGAGTTTTGGTTATTACTACCAAAACGTTTAACTGCACTAGGTGACGTGGTGTAGGGTATGCAATAGACGGCGACACCCGGCTATAAAGTTCTTACTTGTTTAGTAACATTTCTGATTCTGAAATTCTTATCCACCAGTACCGTATACGTATTTTCCCCAATTCTCATAGGCCGAGCATTAAATTGACTTTGAAATGACTGAAGTTTTCAATTCAATAAGCGTAATGACATATTCAAATTACGTCAAGGCTACTTTTGAAGGTCAGCTAACGTTGTCCATATATATGCATATATATATATATAGTGAGCGTAAATCTAAGCGAGACCACATAATATTTATTTATTTGCATTTTCTCAAGATTTCCTTTCATTTCATTCATATTTATTTTATTTATAAAATTCTGAGAATATTGAACACTATAAAAAAAAATAAAAAAAACATAAAAATTAGAGCTAATTACCCAACAAGAACACAATAACAAAACGCATCTTAATGTAGTTGATTTATTTAATATTCCGTGGGCAGCAGTTTCAATCTAGTCTGAGGTACAATAACAAACTAAAAATAAAAGTCTCTAAAGTCGTCGTTTTTATATGAATGATGATCTAAAATTAAGCTGAGATCAAACGATCAAACGATGCTCGCTTATCAGACTTAAACAATATTTTGCAAACACAATGAAAGCTTAAAAAAACTCGCTTTTGACAGAGATGGACACGAATTTTCAAATAAATAGTGATTTTTATTTACATTTCATATGAAATGAACTCATTTAACTTAATTGCTTATCGCTTGTCTATGGCTGTATAAATATGTCATATATAATGGCCAGAATGGTTCGGTGGAAGTTGAGAAAACATGGAAGTGAATCTTTTGTTTCCTACTTTCCGTTTTTTATTCGCCAACTATTGATCACTATATGTGCTTCAATTCGAATAAAAGAGAAAGCTTAAAGATGACCCCAGGAGTAATGGAGAACCCCTTGGAAGGATTTCTGAAATGACACGCTAAAAAAACTTTTGGAAAAATTGTTTTCTTGCAAAGTTTTTTTTACTATACGCTCGTTACATTAAATTGACAATGAATTTATGATCGGATATAATTTCCGGCGTCAGCAAGCCCTTCCTTTCCTTTGTTTGATCACCAAAAAGTTTGTGAAAATCAACAGAAAATAGCTTTTATGTGCTCAACACAACGATTGCGTTACGCGTTGTGCGTAGCGCATAATTTTCGTGAAAGTGTACAACTGGTCCAGTCTATGTCGAATTATGAGTATAGCCATACGGTAAAAGGTAGATGTACAAAACTATTAGCCGGGAAATAACATCAACAAAAGTGCCTTTTATTGAAAAATTATTACGAGCCAAAGTCCAGTTTAATAAGCTTTGAATTCATGCAAGTTTATTGGAACAAAATATGAAAATACAAATTTTCTTCTACAATACAACAAAACATATAATACAATAAAATTTTTTGAATTAACCTATTAAGCAAGTAAGCAACTTATTTATATATATGGTATTGTTATATGTCTAATATTTCGCTTATTCTTTTATATGCAAAGTTTAAAATTTCCATTTTTAAACTGGTCTGTTGTTGGAAGTCCAACTTCTTCATCATTGATCCCAGAAATTTTTCAAAAGGATCGCCGTCCTCTTTCTCCTCCCTGTCAATTTGCTTTGCCAATATATCGATCAATTTGACGGTTACTTCCAAAAATTTTTCTTGATCTCCACTTTGTTTCAAAGAGTGCGATCGCCGAGAACTACTAGTTTCGCTGCATGGAGAAACAATGTCGCTAGGGCTTGGTGGTATTGAAAACGCGTCACTAGAAGGTGCTGGTATTTGAATAAATTCCACAGTCTTTTCGAGTTCCAAGTCCGGTTTCGGTTGTTTCGGCGTCCAAGTCCTACAAAAAGACATGACATTTAAAAATATAATTCTCATATGTAACTGTTATACTCACTCTTTCGGCGTTATGAATTCTCCTAGAAACTTCATGTCGTCGTAAAATTTCCATTTACGGCTTCCCGGAGAGGAAGCCCTGCTTGAAACTGCCTTTCTTTTGTAGTCCCTGGTAAAACGGTCTTTCAGCGATCTCCATCTCACTTTGCACCTTTTAGCTAAATTATAATAAATGAAAAAGTTGAATTCAACTATTTTTATATACATTTTTTATATTATACTTACTGGACATTCCCATTTCTTCAGATATATCTTCCCAGGCTTTTTCTCGTAACATCTTATTGCGAAAATCTATGGAGTGCTTATCGTATAATTCCCTTCTTTCCTTTACAGCGCTTATCAATTGCTCTTCCATGGTTTTCTTTAATTAATTTGTTTTAACTTTTCTTCAACTTATTGCCTTCTTTCGTTCCGTCAGTCGATAATGCAAATAATTATTTTATAGACTAAAATATGAAACATATGATTCATAAGTACAGCACTGTTTTCGCTGTCAACAACAACGCACGCAGAAATGTTGAAATTTTGTCAAAAATTTGCGATAACGCAAAACGCTAACGCAGTTATTGTATTCAGCTCTTTAGTTGTTGGTTAATTTTTGTCATATGTTAAGTGAAGATGAAGAACATCGATATACATGCATTTGTAAGTTTGAAATGATTAAAATTTTGTTTACTTTCCATAAAGGTGTCTGTAATTACTTACATTTTTTGTTTACGTTTCAAATTAGAGGTGGTTAGAGATGGGGCCATGGTTTTCTTATGGTAATTTTTGCAATTTTTAGATTAAAATACTTTACTATTGCCTAGAATTCCCGTTATCGATATTTTATAAAATTCCATGGCTAATTTTTTAGAAGAAATAACAATTGACAAAAAAACAGCAGTCAAGCAAGAAATTTATCGATAAGTGCTGGAGTAATGGCAACTCTTTACGAAAGCACAAAGTCGTTATCGACATAATTGTAACGCCGGTGGTTTTCTTTTACCGGCAACAAAGTCATCAGTTTAACCAAAACAACAACATCAACGATAAATTAATGAAAAATATAAAGAGAAAAAAATTTAATAACGACAATTTTATTTTCAACTTAATAAAAGCTCTCCATTAATTACAAAATTCAAGACTAACAACGAAACAAATAACAAAATAACAATAATAATAATGACTTCTAGAAAGCGTAGTGGTAGCGGTGGTTCAAAGAGACCCAAAGAAAAAGTTGTCTACATTTATGAGCTATTTTTACGAGGTGAAGATCCTACAATTAATAGTTCCGAATTTTGGAATGAATTCTTCCTACTGCAGCCTAATGTGGATGCTTTGGAAAATGAAATCACTAAATTAACCAGTGAGCAATTTTCTTTAGTTAAGAAAAATCTGAGTATGATATTTCAGAAATGTATCGACATGCTGGAAACGGGTAAGAAGTTAAATACTTTATATATGTAGAAGAAAGGTGTGGTTCCAAGACTTCCTAAATAGAAAACAATTCCATTTCTAGATCATCCCAAGCGCTTGTGTCACAGCTTACAGACTTTGTGTTCCTTATTTTATGCTATATACAAGAAATCGTCAGCTGATAATACGTACGATATACTAAATGAAATTTTCGGCTACGACGAAATGGATAAATGGATGAAGAAACTAATGGATTATTGTAATCAGATATTATTAGGTAAATGGTTTTCAAGTCAAAACATTTATAAAATGGTGGCAAAATGTTTTTTCTAGGAGAAGTTTTAGAAAATGCTCGTTTCATGTGTCTGAAGTTATTGTTGGTTTTGGTTACCGGAACGGATAATGTCAGTCAAAATGTTTTGCTCGAACATCTTATGATGAATACATTATTTGATTCGTTTGTACGATTATTAAGCGATCCTACCTTGCGGACTCAACATGGTCACGATATTGTTATCTTGTTAACCATATTGGTAAACTATCGTAAACATGAAGCAACCAATCCATACGTAGTACAATTGTCGATATTGGCCGATGAATTGGCTTTAAATGGGTAGGATACTTAAAATTTTTTTCTTAAATTGCCCAAATTATGTTTAATTTACTTGAAGATATGGTCAAATGATTTCTCAATCTCTAATTGACTTCTGTCGCCAGTACATGCAAAGCTTAAAGCTTAACAATGCTCAGACATCGTCTTGGTTTTCTTCATTATCAAATATTGTGGGCAATATGTTCGTATCAGACGAAGGTTGTGAACGTGTGCAACAAATTAAGGCCAATAATGGTTTGCTAATGGCATTATATGAAGCCGTACATCTAAATCGTAATTTCATTACAACGCTCGCTCATACTCAGGCAGAATCAAGTGCTCCTCCCTCGCCCAGCAACACGTTAAACCTAACCAACCTAACTCAACCCGTACCAGACCTAGCGAATGCTCCGATTATTGATATGACCCAGTGTCCCACTAATTTATTGGTTGCCTTATTTCAATATTGGTAAGAATAGCATAACGCGTTTTTATACTCATCCCCGCAGAATCCAGTAAATCTTGTGATTATGGAATTTTATATTCTCAATATATAATCAGGCCCTCATACTTGAAGGATCAGACCAATGGACGAAGAAGTGCAACTTGTGTCGCCATATCGAAGTATTAGGTAGTAAAAATGCGAAAAATTAATTCTTTTAATAATAAATTCGTCGAAAACTTTTCGAAATTCTTGATTAGCCTAAATTCCGAAACCAACTGCGTGTCTGCCTTATATTTCCGGGAGGGGCGCCATCAAATCAAAACAAATCAAAATAAAAAAACAACTTCTCTTATAGAAATACTGCCAACGGAGTAAACCACTACCCTGTCTGTTAAAGTGGCAGATTTTTGCTCTGCCATATGTTTTTATTAGTATGCGGTGATGGGTAGTAAAAATTCGCCTCAAGGCGCATTTATTATTTCAACTACATTAACATTGCTTCTATTTGTAGTTCGATAGTAATGCAGGACAATAAGAACGAGTCCAGTGTGGCCAATTTAAAGTTATGCTTTTTAATTCTTACGTGCATATCTGAAGATCAATACGCCAATTCCATGATGCATGATAGTAATTTGACTTTTAAAGTCATCTTGCATCGTGCGCAGATGCGTCATCGTAAATTAAATATAGATCGGGTCGGCCGATCGCAACCTTTGGCGGCCACTCTTCTCGACTTATTGGTTGAGTTTATTGTCTCGCATCTTATGAAAAAGTTTCCTATGGAATTGTATCTACTTTGCATCGGTGTCGTCCATCGTATACTTTGCTATCAGAAACGTTGTCGTGTACGTTTAAATTATCCCTGGAAAGAGTTGTGGTCGGCTTTAATAGGTTTGCTTAGGTTTTTAGTTAATCAAGAGCAAGCTTTAATCAAGAAGTGCAACATCTTTCATTTGTCTTTGCAAGTAAGTCAATTACTACTACTAGCACTACATTACTAATATTGAACATAAAATCAAAAAGACATGATTAAATGAAGTGAACAACTCTCACAGGTGGTTAACATATTCAATTTATTTATTACTTATGGTGATACTTTTCTGGCCACTACAAATAGCTACGACGAGCTATATTATGAATTAAATCGTGAAGAGAAAGTTTTCACAGAACTGCATGCTATGGGTGAGTAAAGAAAGATCATAAATGCTTTAAATGTTATGTGTTTATAGCTTTAACGAATTTTGTAGTCTTACGTTATACAACAATGTCTGATTGTGAATATAAGGATGATGTTATTAAGCTGCTTAATGCATTAGTTAATATTTTGGCGATTGTGAAACATTTTCAAAACAAAATTAAGGAATGGCTTGCTGAACAGGGTCTATCTACGCCGACAGAGGAGCAGATTTTAGATGTTGTACGTAAAAACTACGATTTAACCTTAAAATTGCAAGACTCATTGGATCATTATGATCGCTACGCAGAAGCTCCCCGCCATACTAATTTCTTTAAGAATATGGTGCGTGATATGGTATCAGATACACGTAAAAATATCTATGGCTACGTTAAAGAAGCCATATCAAGTATACCAGAACCGGATGCCATGGTCACCTCAACATCTAGCCTTTAAGAATTTTTATCATTTTCATTCATTAACATTTAGTAATGGATTTGTAATGATTTTCTCTTATAATAATTTTTTATTTTTTTCTCCTTGTAACTTTAAGATACGCCTTCAAGTTATATGCGACTGTTAAATGATTATTGATTTATTGTACAGACGAAGACAGAGTAACAGAGATATAGAAACTTTTATAGAACTCATCACACATTGAGGTATATGCATATATATATACATATATATATATATATAAATAAATTATATAATCTAATACTAAGTTCACTGTGTATGTTGTATTAAATGCAATTACCACCAAAAAATATCGGGATGGATCGAGGTACTGGTAAGTAGCTTGTGAAGGCAGAGTCAGTCGAATCAAGGGAATTAAGTCGTTATGCTCCTATGGACAAGACATATGTGATAGATGTGGCATACTATGATTCGTGCCTCCTGGCTACCAAATAGTCTTATATCCATTTTAGATGGGTTTTAAAGTTTGTCTGTATTCTCAAATATCATTCAGGATTGTCTTATTAAATTTGTTCCAAGGTACCGCGCATCCATACTTGGATAACAAACATTTCATGACGCTTCCTTCACAGCGAATGTGCGCAGAATTTATGGATAATTTCGTTGCACTTCAACGCCTTAAAGCGACCATCGGGTGGTTCAACATTTCTGCATTTTATTTTCGTTTCTTTCTTTACAATGGTTTCGGTAAAAATGCAATTATATAATTAATTCATATTCAATTGAAGGTTTTTTTTCTCTTTTCATAATCTACTTGTTTAATAGGCCAAAATCCGTGCAAGTTTCCTCAGCGGTTGCAACGTGATAGCACCTACTTCCATTAATAATTCAATAAATGGATTTGACGTGGACTTAATTCCTTTTAGTACTTACCCCACTTTCTGTATTAGCGACACCAGCTGCTTCAATGCTAGGGTAATCAGTTAATTGAATCAATAGCTAACCGAATTGCAATTTAGTCCATTTGTAGCACTTCATTAATAGCTCATTACTAGCGCAAGATTCCTCAATGACTTCATTCAAGGTTACTGCAATTAATCAAGCAATTAATTAAATAAAAATTATGCTTAATTGTTTTTTAATTATTTACTTAATTACAAAACGGAATGCCGCAAAAAACTAAATAAACATTTTGAAGAAAAAAAAAGAAAAATTGACATCTCTTTGATGACTTTCTTTATCTAGGAACTCTGCAATATTTGTTTTCTTCTTTTCAGGTTATGTCATGATGTTTGTTTTTTATTTTTTTTATTAAGCAATGAATTTCACTTGTCTCATATTCCCCTCCACCAAATGTTCATCGCAAAGTTGTTTTCAATATGTTGCAAATCCTCTGCCATGAAAAAACACATTTTGCATAAAAATTGAACCCTCAACATTACCAAAAAATCATCCCACAGGACTCTCAAAATGAGCAAAATCATGCAGAATGTATCTGAAAACAACCAAATTCCAAAGTTTTTTAGTATTTATTTATTTATTTTTTTGGATTATTGGGTGGAGATGGAATAAGTCAATGGATTTGTGGCTTAAAATTTTTTTAATAAAAGTAAACAAAAGTTGAGAAAGATTCTCTCCGCAAAATTTTTATTTTGTTTTTGTTTATATCTGACACATTTGCATGACATTTTTTACTAGAAACCCCCGTAGCATACTTTTCTGATTAAATCAAATTTCTTCTTTATTGTATACAAAGATTAAATAAAACGAAAATTTTAAAAATTTTAAAAATATCAATTTATTTATTTATTTGTTGTACTTGGACATTCATTCATTGTTTTCTATTATTATTCTTGTTTTTAATGAATTTAAATTATCTTATTTTTCCCTTCACCATATGTTCACAGAATTTATTATATACATATACAATATATATTTATACAAATATATATTTTTTATCTTTTCATGTATTTTCCGTTAATTTTTCAATAATATTTTATTTGTTTCCGGTTCAGTTCCAGTTCGCTTTCATTATCTGTCGCTCTTACATCACTGCAACTTTACTCTAAAATCGGATTAAAACTCGTTTGATTCATTTCTTAATATACGTACGAATGGCGGTAGTATATTTCCTCGCCCCAAAGTATTCAACGTTCTGAAATTGTCAATCCGCTTTCAGTCTAATATTGAAAAGTTGTAAATGATGAAAGATTTCTTGATCGTATAAAGCGTATTAGCAGCTTGCTTAGTCCGTTATTGAATCATATAAAACCGGACTCTTACCGGAGCTATCCTGATGTATTTTTGCTTTGGATTTTTGCTTTCAAGTGAACATAAAAATCTCGTAAAGATATTTATTAGTGTTAGTGTAGTTGAGAAGTTAAGAAAAACAGTAAGAAAGATGTTGGACTAGAAGTTCCCAACTAATCAATCAAAATATACTTTTCTGGCTGGCCGGCCATTATGCGTGCTTGCCTTTAACTGGCAGATCGCAATTTTTGGAGATGTTTTGATGAAATTTGCTACAACGACGCATTTCTGCCCAATGACGAATGCGACTGAACCGGTTTTACGAACATTCCCCAGACATGGTCTTATATTTGAAAAGTCGTTATATAAATAACGCTATTAAGCGAATGATCGGCCATTCACCTCTATGTTTTTAATTCCCCCCATGTTGTAAACTTGATTTCGGGCAGAGTATGCCTACATCCGAACTTGTGCTTCAATCACGAATCGAGCGTGTGGTGATCAAACGCACACTGACATATGAATGAAGTTAAAGCGCGTCAGGACCGTCTGTTTTTTTTTCTTTTTTTCTATTTGTTTGCTTTCATTTTTATTTTAGTCCCTTCGAAATTTCGTTTCTAAATAGATCTACAGATACAAATACATGTAAAAACCTTAACGAAAATGAACGATAAAGCGGCCACGTGGTTATTCGACGAGCGAGCATCTAATTCCCGCATAGCGCCTTGGATAAAGTGCATATATTTATAAACAGGCGAGCAGACACGTGGTTTACTTTCGATGCATTCCTTTCCGTTGCCGTAATTCGCTACAATACCAGCAAGATAGTCGCTACAAATAAGTGGGCTGCCATCAATCGATTGAGCGCAATGATTAAGTCCACTCATTTTCAGTCGTATGCATATATAATCTTGATGATAATTTGGCATTTCTTCGCGGCATTGCGAGCTTTTCAAAACGTCAACTTTATATTTAATCCAGGTCGGGTGCTTGCTAACTACAAAGCACTTTTTATATACCTTAGGTGTGTGCATGGGGAGCGGCATTATTTCCGCTTCGGATATTATATCATTGTCCACTAAAAGAACGCTTAAATGAATGTCGCTCCAATCGAGGGGCCAATCTGGTGTCAAGTTTATTAAATTTTTGTAACGAACGCGAGAGTTTGTATCAAAGTTGATGATACCTTCGTTTATTGTTTTGCCTGTTTCGGTCTTGAATACCGATTGATTTGAATTGAAATCAAATCCTCCAGCGGTTAATATTTTATTTTTACCAATGATGACACCAAGAGAATGGCTGATCCAATTGCCTTCCAATAAAAAGCCAATCCGTACGATCTTTTCTTTGTATTTTCGATCTTTATTAAATTCCATATTCAATTTTATCCATTGCCGAGACTCATAGAGCTCAGCGCAACTACGTGGTTCGTCTGCTTTGCATTTCGCCGTAGCCGTCGGGCCAACAATGCCTGTTAAAACGTCATCACATATAAGAGCGGAGCCATCAATGTATTCATCACATTGCGAACATGTATCAAATTCCTTCGGAATCTGTATACATATAATATTATGATCAAGTTGTGGATACATCGTATAACAATTATCCGGATTTATGATATCAACTTTTTTATTAACTACTCTACTTTTCCATTCGATCGGTAATGCCAGACCAACAACTACACAATTGCTAGGCTGTTTTACTTTCTTAGTAGGTAGATCCATAGCTTTGGCCCCTGATTTCCATAAATCGAGTCCCGTATCAAGTAGAATCAGCTGTATTTCGCGCGAAGACTGATCCGTCGAATTTTTATAAGGTATTTTCGTTGTCCAATTAATGCGGCCATCTTTTGCACCGAAATGTGAACGATTTCTATAACCGATGTAGCATATTTGCCTTAACGCATTTCCCTTGAAACTTGTTAATACAATAAACTTGGATAATATGACTCCATAGCTAAAGGTAACTTCACCAGATTTCCAACAATAAACTTCAACGATATATTTCCAATATTTTGAAGAATTTTCAAATTCTTTACGATTAGAAAGGCAATCGTCGCCACCGCTCTCGTTCAATTTGGAAGCCGTTAGCATCATTAAAATGCAAAAGTTTTGAAAATTTATAAACATTTCCTTTTATTTTTAAAAATGACAAAAAAAATTTAAAAAAAAATATTTTTAAACTTTTAATCAAAATCAAAAACAGATGAAAAATCGAAAGAAGAAAGAAAGAGAATTTGAAATGAATGCCAAGGATCGGGAAATGGTTTCTTGAATAACGAAAAAGGCGAGCTTTCCGTTACACAATCGCGCGTGTGACAAGCAAGCATATGCTTGATGTGATCCAATACGAGAATTTTATTAGCATTTTACACATAATGACACTTGTAACGCAAAACAAGTAAGGATAGTGTAGTGTACACCACGTGGCTTAGTGCAGTTGGTCGAGGTTGAGAATTTGTTGTCGCTTTTTACTTATACAAAATGATCGCTATTTTTCGAACGTGATCTAATTGGCAAGAAGCCGAGCAGGTCCATTCTACCAAAACGGACTATCTTCACTTCTTCGCTTAGTACAGTTATCGCTCTCTTCGCACACTCGGTTGCAAAGCATCTAATGCTAAAGTTGAGAATTTGTTGTTGCTTTTTATTTATACAAAATGATCGCTATTTTCCGAACCTGACCTAATTTGCAAGAAGTCGAGCAGGTCTATTCTACCAAAAGGGATTATTTTGACCCCCTATTTGGTCCACATACGCTGTTCGTCTGTCTATCCCTCCGTCTAATGTCTGTCCATGTATTTTTATGTTCAACTGTGCAGGCGGCATTTTTTGAGACATTTTGGTACATAGTCCAACGTAGTCTGACACTCCCCCTATAAGGTCTTATTCTGAAAAGTTGTTGTATGGAAAAAAATTTCTCGGCAAAGGCAACTAAGTAATACTATTTCGGCATTTTAAATTGGTATGAAAATGTTGGTCGAGCTGGGGCAATTCGTTTTGGACTCCTTCTCATGTAACGAAATATGAAGTTCATGCGGACACAAAGGTATAATTTCCAATGCTGCCCGATGAAAATTTTATCATAATACTAATTTAACTTAAAAAAATTAACAGTACCAAATTTGGAATATCTCGGCCTATTTTTCAGATCTTACCCTAATGAGGAGTTTCTCGAAAATTAATCCTTTGTAGAGCAGAAAAGTCGAAGTTTTATTATGTGATGATGAAAATTGACGTGCAGTAGTAGGTAGGTAGTGGTGTGGGATATTGAATGGTCGACCTTGTCCGACTATAATTTTATTGTTTTAAATAATACTATTGAAGAGAATAAAAACAGAAATACGGACATCCACGTAAACTTAAAAATAAGTATAGCGAGAAAGAGGGAGAGAGTAAAAGTTATGGATCTATCAGCATTAATTCCACCCTATATATGATTTCGAAGAATAGTTTTCTTCTTCTTCTTCTTCTTTACTTCTTAATGTATCTTAAAAGATCCCAAAGAGAAATCCTAAATAAGATAATTTCAACGGACAATTACATGGAACAGCATAAATTTTTGAAGGTATTACCTCGTTTTCTTATCATTCTATAACCTATGAGTGTACGACAACATTAACGTAGAAGAAAATAAAGTTTTATTCAGTTCAAATAAACATTTTCTTTTATTAGACGTATTTACTGATGGAATATAAAAATATATTATAATAGAAGAGATACCGTTATATAATAATATTATCATATTCTTAATAAATCACATAGTATAAAGACATAAAATTGCTTCATTTGGGTAGAAACAAAGTTGACGAAAGTACTTTCTCTACTTGTTGTCTACGCGTAGATAATATACAGAAAATGAGTACATAATTGCTCCGTGCAGCCTACCTACCTATTCTAGGCGCATTCTTTGCGTCATGTGTATAGTACGTAAAAAATATGTAGAGAGGTTATGGTATTGCATGTTGGTTTCTACATAGAAAAAAAGTAAAAAATTAGTTTTAAATTTGGATGGTTTTCTCGCTGCATCCTCTACATCATGTACATAACATTTCGAAAATAAGTAGGGAATCTCTAGAGTTATGCAGTGTTTTCCACATGTTATTTACTTAACTCTACGTTTATTCTAGGTAAAAAAAAAAAAAAAATGAGTAGAGCGTCATATTTCTTTCGATTTCTCTATGTATTATCCATATATTCTCTACGTCACTTAGATAATGCATAGCAAATGTGTAGATAACTTGCAGAGCTGAATGGTATTCTGTATGTAATGTTTGTGCTTCCTCCACCTATCGTTTACGTCTTCTCTACGCTTTCTACACATTGTTTTAGTTTTTTCTACGAATTCCCTAAATATTTTCTAACAGTTGGGATATATTTATTTCATCTACGACAAGAAACAATTTTACATTGAAATATGTCGACATTTTTCTCGCATGTGACAAAAACTAAATTTTCAATTTTGTTTGTGATATTTGTTTTTTTTTTTTAAGGAAATTTTCACAAATTGTTGAACCTCAGCTGCTAAAAATATTTGTTAAAAAAAAGAAATTCTTTCTTTTTGTTTATTTGGTTTAAATATAAGTTTTATTTAAAATATTTGTATATTTAATGCATGTGATCAAGAGAATATTGTTAATTTAAAGTTTATATTTATATATTGAATTTCATAATTATTATTTTCAATTTTATTATTTTAAAATCAAATAATTTTCTAAAATTAACTTTATAAAACATAAAAAAAAAAAAAACATTAATTTCTTTAAAAAAAAAAAATAGAAACACAAAAGGAAAGAAAAGAAAAATGTTTATTTATAAAGAATTCATTTAGTAAATTATTTCTTACAAAGACCTAAAAAAAAAAAAAAAAAAAAAAACTATAATGTATTTATACTAGTATTTATATACACATTTAATTAAGGTTTTTATTCAAAATTCTTTTTGGGTAAAGTATTTTTTTTTTTTTTTTTTTTTGCATTAAACAATTTTTTATTTTGTTTTTATATTTGTGTTTAGTCTTTTTTTTTAAATCTCTTTTTCCTTTACAAGGCACCCACAAATATGTAAATTATCTATTTAAATATATTATAGAACCATTACAGCACAGCAATGCAATGCAATGTAAAAATGACTGAAATAAAAATATCAGACACTACTCACATCTGGAAGAGGAAAGAGCCACGGATACTTCTTATTGCGATATTTTTGAAAAAGGTTTTTCTTAAAACAACAAAAGCAAAAAAAAAAGCAATTAAACATATGGGACAATTTTCGATCAGAGGCAAATTTAGTCAAAGAAATAAATGTCATCGTAAACTTGATCGCTTACCTCTGAACCCTTAGTTGTCGCTCGATCAACTGGTTTTATTCTTTTCAAATATTTTCTATCTATAAACATATATTCGAATCAATTTTAATTATTAAGGGAAGTGTTCAATAAACTTTCACCTTTTCGCGACCAATTGTCAAATATATGTGACATAGCCCGCCTTCATACGTACGGCGGTTAGAAAAATAGATTCGAGATGTATTTTTCAGTTCAATCAGAATGTCGATAAAGAAGTGCGTATGTTCTAGTAATGCCATGAAGACTTTTTGCCCGATGCCCTATTCCATATACTATGTGGATTATGATTCAATGAAAGAAAAAAAAAAAAAAAACTTTACGTAAAGTTTGGGACACTCTAGATAGGCTGGGTCGAAAATGTTTGGCCAATACACAACGCGTTTGAACACTCGCCTTAGCGAATACACTCATAGACACGTTATTGATACTCTTATCATATACTCAAAGCATGAGACCAAAAATTAACCAAGTATATAAGAGGTGTGTTCAAAACGAAAAAAAGATGACTTTTCATAATTTGCGGGCTAAGTATATTCGATTTTCGAATTTTTGTTTTTTGTAGACATTATCCGGTTTTTTTGCATTTTTAGTTTCTTTTTCATAGGTATAAAGATTAGATGGGTTTTGTTGTGCTTGGCGATTTTTTTCTATCGAAAAAAGAGGATCAAAGGAGTGAGGATTTGAGTGAAAGAATCGTTTTTGAGTGGCACAAGCGCTTCATAGAGGTCAAGAAGATTTTAAGAACATTGCCGGCCCTGAACGCCACAGCACGTCCACAACATTGAATCACTATGAGAGAAGTTGCTGAGGAAGGCGGTTGGCTCGTGTCAAGCATAATTGGTTTACACCAAGATAATACGCTAGCTCAAAATTCATTGCTTGTTCGCAAACACCCATGAAGGGTGGAGCTTGCTTCGTTCCGCATCGGTCAAGGCCATATAAGAAAACCCATATCGGAAGTAATTCGAGAATTGAAAGAAGCGCTAGCCAAAAGCGTGTCTGGTTTTATCATTTTTGGAATTTGACTTCATAGAAAATCGGCTAATTTTCATACGAAGTCGTTTCGTCAAATTTGAAATTTGCGTAACGGGTACACACATACTGAAGGATCAAAATCTCTTGTAGATTTTAATTTAAAGTTTGCTTTTATCTTAGGAACATTTCTGCTGAGTTTTAGTTAATGGATCCTTCTAGGTTACATCGGAGGGGCTTTCCTTCGAAGAGGACAAGATAGATATTGATGAATAAGCAAATATTCTTCGAGAGAATTAAAAGATGAATTTTTTTTTTGAACACACCTCGTATTTCTGAATTTCACAGGAATTTAACTATTCCGTTATTTTATTTTATTAAAAAGTAAGAAACGAAGAAAAAACATACACATGTGTGCAGAAAAATAAGTGCGCCTTGTTTTTGTTATGCGTTGATGTGGCATCCATCCTTTATCGAAATTCTGATTCGCGAAACGAGAGAGTACACGGCGAGGTAATAACTGATGCCGTAATCAAATTGCACCGTCTTATCGAAGCGACATGTCGTTCACATCGATGGCAGCCAAGTTAGATATAAATAATTGGGCGGTCACAGCATGATATCGAGTACCAATTACAGTAATTACTTGATCAGCCTCATTTTCAATAAAAAAGTACGGCTAAACTTTCTGTGTTCAAAAAGAAGAAAGCCTTGCTGTCTCCATTTCTAGTAACCCTACACTGTTGGACATCAAAAATAATAAATTGGTCTTACTTATTGGACACAGCAGTATGCATGCAAAAAAACCTCTTTTTTAAGAATGCTTATGAATAGCCATAGGTAAAATCTCTTCCAATTGATGGAAATGATCACAGACGAAAATTGTAATCTGTCCTTTTGTGACTTTTTCCCCATTAGAACTTGAGTTAAATTTCATGAAACATTTCTTGCATTTTTTTATCGCATGCTACTTTCAGTATTAATTGCAAAATACATAAAACAGAGATATTGTTAAGTAGCTTTACTTAGGTAGTATTTTATGCAATTATATCTCTTTACATAGACTTGATAATGACCTATATATAGATATCAATATCGAGTAAACTCGATAGCTGTGAGTGGTAGCTTAACATCTGTCGATACATGATTTTTCTTATTCTCGAATGAAAAAACTTTCGATCGTAAAATTGCTATCGTCGAATTTAGTCGATATCGATAGCTATCAACTGCCCCTAGTGTTTACAATTATTTTCAACTTTTAATGAAACTCTTATCACAAAATTAATTTTTATTAATGATAACTAATTCAAAAAAGTCTCACGCAAAAGAAACACATTTCTATGATAAGATTAGGGGATAAGGGGCAGATCATGAAAGTAAAAAAAAAAGAGAATTTGAAGAAACAGTTTTATAATATAATACTTATGCTTGAATGGTTCTACGCGTATAAAAATTGTTGTTAATTTTTTTCATTTTATATTTATGTATAAATATATATGTCGTTATATACTTTATAAATAATACACTTTATTTTTAAACTATTGTCGATTTTATTAAATTTTATTTATTAAATTTTTTTTTTTTTTTTTTTTTTGTTTATTACTTTTTTTTTCCTTTTAAAAATGATCCACTTTAACGGATACGGTATGAGCTGCGGCATTGCTTGGTAAATCGATGTTATCCCATTCGGTATGTAAATTTTTTTCGCTATCGGTAGCTTTTAGAGCCAAACCCAAGGAGGCTGTACGCCCAGCGCAATGTGGTATGTTTAGAGTGACAGGTACCAAAAATTCAAGTCCTTGAGGGCCGCACATAACTAATGGCGACAACATGGTTTCACCTAATTAAAAGTATAATTATGAAAATGAAAATATTTTTTAAAATTTTTTTTTCTTTTTTTATTTTTTTTTTTTTACAAATTATTATAACTAAGTGCATTAAGCAAGGCCATTATTATATATAGGACCCTAATGTATTTAATAAATATACAATAAATATACTTAATAATAATTAAAATAAAAACGAATTAAAAATCAATTAAGAAAAACCATATTCCAAAATTAATAACATATAATTAAATATAATATAATGTATTATTTTAAATTTAAGACACTATGTTTAACAAGTGCTTTTTATATTCGGCTTTGCCGGCTGTTAGTTGATAGTTGAATTTTCGATGAAATAAATGAAATGAAATTTAAGCGAAAAAATCTTTAATGTTTGCCTACTACGTCTAGCAAAGATTTGATGTTCGTTGATTCTGTTAATCGATTAATATTAAGAGATCAGGATGAGGATTTTGCGTAATTAGTTTTTCATAGAAAAAAAGAAAACGCATTTCAGTAAACTTTACAGGACCCATACCATGCATCGCTTGTGTGTTAATTACCTATTGATATAAGGAGGGACACACGTTGTGTCATTTATACTAAGGTATACTAAGTTTGTGTGGATGTATGCAATACGCAAAAGGAATGGGGATGGAATTAACTTTCGTTTATTATATCGATCGAATCAGAAGCAGTTTTTCAATCTAAGCTTATTTTGTCAAATCCAATCAATTTAAGTTTGTCTGTCCGTCGTCCGTCTTGTTTGCTTACGTTCAATTTACAGGCTAATGCTATTGAATACGGTTCGAATCGGATCAATTATTCAACCACTTTCTTTTTTTTTTCGAAAAGTGACTTTTCACTTAAACACTCGTCAGTTACATAAGGATTAAAGTTTTTAAAATTCCCTATGTGTCCCGTTAGAGGTAAGTTTAACTCTATATGATTAGTTCTTTTCGGCTTTTTATAATGCAATTTGCGCCAAAAAGTTTGTCGACTGCAGACAGCCTCTCGTCATTTTTATATCCTTTTTTCTTAATAATTATACATAACCTAAAATAACTTCAAAAATTATTATTACTTTTTTTTCCATACCAAAAAAAAAAAAAAAAAAAAACAAAACTGGACAAAAGTTGTTCCCCCCATCACTTTCAAACCCATATTGTCGCCAATCGTCTACATTTCAGTTACACTTAGATTTCAAATTAATTTTCTAAAAAAATTTAAATAAAAGAAAACCCTATGCGAAAATTGCTATATAAAGAGATATAAACATATAATGTGGATCGTGGAATTACGTGGATTATTTTGGATAGTGTTCGTCTTTGGGCCAAACACACGTCCGTTTACCAAATTTCATTAAAATATCGCAAAAATTTGCGACTTGTAAGTTGAACACAGGATAATAAGACAGACGGACAGAGGGACAGACTTAGACTTAGATCAACTGGGAAAGTGATTGTGATAATTCTAATAATAAAAGGTAAAAAAAGAGGTCCACTTCAAGTCCCATATAAAAGATCTTTGACATATTCTCTAAAATTGTCTTCGGCTATTTTTATCGGTGCTGCCTCTCTCTCTTTCTCGCTTCCTCTCTCTACTACCTCCTCTAGCTAAGCTCGTATCCAAGCATTTCTAAGAAGCTTTTCTACTAGTTACTAGAATCATTTCTAGTAGTTACAACGGGACACCACATGAAATCTACATGAGGTATACACGACGCATTTAGAACTTTTCAAATCAGCGCTGCTAACTACCGTTGTTGTTGTTGTTGTTAGTATCATTTTTGCGCATGCAAACGAAACTCTTACATACAGACGATTAGATGCAAAATAAATGAAAAAAAATTAAATAAGGAATCGTTAGTAAAAACGAAAAATTATAAAAAAAAAAAGAAACAAGAAAAAATTTAACTTTAAATATTGCAGTACTGCAGTATTGCAGTAAATTTAATCAAGTGGTATGCAAAATAAATTATATTTTGTACAATCTTTTTTAGATAAAAGAAAATAATTGATTAATGTGTGGTTGAATTAAGTTTTTTTTTCTTTTTACAGAAGAATTGACAGTGAAGTGAAAAGTGGAAGAGAGATAGAAAAAGAAAGAGAGAAAGAAAGAAAGAGAGAGAGAAAGAGAGAGAGAGAAACATAATTGAAACAAACCATTTTCCATATCCAAAGGAGGGCCGCCTACAGCTTGTCCTAAGCGCGGATCACTCACAGTAAAGTAGATTTCTTGACGTACGCCAGCCGCTATAGCAAGGGGAGGTATTTGAAGTGATACATTCCAGACAGTATCGGTCAAAGTACCACCTGTGCTATCGAAGATTCCCCTCGTAGTGATTGGCTCACGCGGTATCGGAGGAAAAGATCCTTGACCCGGTAAACTGGCCGCAGCGGGTGCCGTAATAGGCACTGGGCCAGCTATAGGCAAAGACATATTGCTCGTATAAGGGGTACTAGTGGCATTTGGAGGTCCCACCGGCAAACTAGCCTGTGATGTATATTGAGTTTCCACCGACGTGCGGCTTTCATTTAAAGGTTTCAGTGTTGGCGGTGGGGCGGTACGCTTTAAGATATTCGATATATGAAAAGGAGTGCGCATAGGTCGTTGTATTACCTGACCTATAGGCGAGTTGGGTGAATCTACTAAAAGTTTTATCGGAGATTTTTCGCTTAAAACATTTGACGTTTTCGTTACTTCGAACACTTCATCGGATCTACTTGCGCTAGCATTCATTTCAACAGGGCTTTCTTCAGCTTCTAGCATGGCACGCTTATGCTCATTTTCAATCATTGTTGGCATTTCGGTTTTATCGAAGTCTTGGATTGGTTCATTATCTAAATCATCGCAATCTTCACTTTGCACCAATGGGGCTTTCGAGGCTAAGTTAGGAGTAGAAATCTGCATCTCATTAACATCAATGGTATTCTCTATGACAGTATCTGAAGATTTTTGCAATTCGGACCGACTTAAGCTATCAGATTCACGATTAATTTCGACTACAGTAATATCGTGTTTGCTTTCCTTTTTCTCGTCGGTCTCGTTTTCTCTCGATTGTAGAATACTTTCCTCTTTTGTTTCGTATATTGGCTCGGGTCGACCTATATCACGTTTCGTGATATAGCCAGGCTCGGCCATACTTTCTAAAGCCTCACGCCTTGTCTGATAGATTTGCTCTCGTAATTGGGCTCGCGTTTTTAAAGCTCCATCCTTTGATTCACGTTTGCTCTGATACATGAAGTCTCTCTCAGACTTCTCATCCATTTCGGAATGTGTACTACTACTCTGAGGGCTGAATTCCTTTTCCATATCACGTTTACCTTGTATAATGCGCTCTTGCATCTCTTTTTTGGTCTGATATAAATGACGTTTTTGCATTTCACGTTGTACGTCACGACGTGACTGATATATCGGATCGTTCATATCGGCGATTTCATGAGAAGTCCCCGGATAGAATCGTCGACGAGTCATAACTTCTGAATTTGGAGCCCTATGTTGTATATCATCATTCGAATAGAGACAAGGTTTACTAAGTAGTAAATCCTCATTACGATCATAATCGCTAGCCAACATTAAAGGTCTACGTTGATTGCTAACACGATCGGCTGTTGTTGTACTATGCCTGCGAATAATTCTTCTACCGTTGCGGCCTTGCATGGCAGCCATTGCTTCAGCTTGCCGCCTTTCCAAATCGATTAGGGCTCGATTGACATAGAGCTTATCGTCCTCATAGCCGTTCCATTCTTCATTGGACGGTTTCAGACGACCTCCCCTAGGCACTGTACTCAGGTGACCGTAAATATCTTCAGTTTCCAAATTCTGGTAAGTACCATTCATTACATTTTGATTGTACGCATTATCGGATAATTTAAGACTAGAGCAATTTTGTTGTTGTTGATGTTGATCTTTTGAATAATACTGCTGTTGCTGATGCTGCTGCTGCTGCTGCTGATGGTGATGATGATGATGATGATGCATTTCTGGTGTAATGGGCCCTCTAGGTGCATAATATCGTTCATCCAGACCGGCTGGATAAGTGGGATACTCATCGGGGTAATAGGGCCGTTGAACGCCACGTTCCAACATCGAATGTTGACGCCTTAAACCTTTTGCTTTACGTTCCGGCTCAACCATGCTATTCATACGTCTTAGGGGACGAGTTGATTTGATTAAAGCATTCTTTATAACCGTTAAAGGACTTTTTAAAAGTGATTTTTTTTTCACTTTAGGTGGCGGCAACGGTGGGGGTATCTCATTTTCCGGATAATACTGCTGTAAGTGATAAGGGTTCGTCGGCGTTACGTAATTATTACGATAGTAGCCAGTGTTGACTGTATGCGCAGGCGGTAAATCGTAGGGATAGCGTGGCGCCGATTTCGAACGTCGAGGTGGCGGTTGCTTATGTTGCGGCGGCGGCAAGCCATAGTAATCAGTGTATAATTGCTCTTGAGCGCTACCGTATGGTGAACCCATCTCGCTAAGAGAGAATTTAATAGCAATTTTTTGCGTTTGTTTTTATTTTTAAAGAAAAGAAAAGAATAGGAAGGCAGGTTTAAAGAAAGAAGTAGGCTTCCTTAGCTATTTCGATTTTCTTCGGGCCAGTGGTTTTCATTCAAAAAATTTTCACAAGTATTTTCAAAATTAAAAACATTTCATGGGTTTATGTTTAGTTTGGAGAAAACGGGGGAAAGGGATGAACGCCCCATGTAAACATTACTGCGGTTCCTTCGATTAAGAGACGTCGCTAATGTGAAGCTAAAATAATGGACAGGCAATTCTTAGTTATTGCATCACGATAAGGCGCCTTCTGCCCTTTATTGGTTGTTTGAGTGTCATATTTCATTCATTTGTAAGTAACTATGGTCTTACAATTCGGCTTGATTTCGCTCCGTTTGATTTCTGCCTATTTTTGGGAACTGACTCGAGGATTACATTATTATTATTTGATTCAGTTATTCACGCTGCTCAAGCTTAAATGGATTATGTACGTTCGCTACGTAGAGTATATTCTTAAGGGGACAGGGGCGTATAAGTATTTATAGAACTCACAGGACCAATTAGAATATATCTCCATAGAAATGTGAGGCGTACGATTAATGAGTTGCTTTTAAATTTCTTTGCATTTACCAGAATATGCCTTTAAAGGAGCGTGGGGGCGTACAATTAATAGATTTTTGTTTATACTCCCCAAGGGGACAGGGGCGTATAAGTATTTTATAGAACCCACAGGACTACTTAAGAGTATATCGCCAAAGAAATGCGGGGCATATGATTAATCAGTTTCTCGTCAGCTTGAATATACCTCGAAAGGGGCATCGAGCAAGGTGGCGTAGAATTAATAAATTTTTTGGGGGTCCCCAGAGGGCTACCTAGCGGCGACGGCGACGGCGATTATTTAATAAGTTCTTTTTGTATTCCGCACTGAACAGCCTACCGTATATTTTCAAGGAGTTGGGGGCGGGGCGTATAATTAGTAAGCATCTAGAACATATCTGTAAAGGGGCCTGATGAGGAAAAGTATGAATAGTAAGCAGACCTACCTAGAATACACCTCTAAAGGAGTGTGAGGAGGGGGGCACATAATTAAGAAATTTTTTTCTAATTTTGATAAGTTTTTCTGTGGTTCCCACCGGACTACCTAGAATATATCCGCAACGGGAAACGAGGAGAGTGGCGCCAATTAATATTTACTGTTTTGTAACACCCACATAGCGTGTAATATGTCATTGGTTTCATTGTTCGGACTAATAGAATTAAATTTGTGTTATGAGGTTCAGGTCAATGCGGTAAAAAAGGGGAAGAGGACGAAAGGCAAGGAGTGATAAAGATTTGTTTATAAAATACTTGTAAAAATTTTCTTAAATTTGTAAATATTCTAAGGATTTCCACTCAATCACGCACATCGACTCTTTAATTTATGAATTGTATATATATATATATATATACATATATATGCATATGTATATGTATATATATATAAATTTACTCCAAAACTAATTTTTGTTCTTTATTTTGCAAATACCAATTGAATGGGTGGGGGAGAGGTAAAGGAAAGAGAAAGAGTACTATACTTTGGAAAGTTCTATAGGATGGAATTCCTAGAATTTCTTACACTATACCACGCACGCACATAACAATAGAACCCACAAGAAATTATTTATTTTTTTTATTTTTTAATTTTTTTTTCAAAAAACAATATTGAATGAGTTTAATGAACACAAAGGAACTAAATAACCGTAAATACAACAAAAGAAATGCATATGTATGAGGAGCCAAAGAGAGTAACATATAAGGTAAGAATTAGTTGAACTATGTATGTATGTATGTATGTATGTATGTATTGAACTTAAAAAATATTTTAAAAGACACAACCTTTATTAATGATTTCATTAAGTTTTATTTTTTTTATTATTTTTCTATTTTAACTCATTAGAGATAAAAATAGTTTCTTCTAAAACAATATTTATTAAACAAAAAATAAATAAATTAAAAGAATTGACCCGAAAAATGTTTTTAATTTTTTTTTAATTTTTTTTTTTTTTTAAATTTATGTATTTATTTTTTATACTGTAAATCAATTGCCGTTCAATCTTCTTAGTGTCTGTTTGATTGGTTTTTGCAATAAATAAAAAACAAAATTTTTGTTTCAGTGGAAGTTGTTCTGTGCGTTCATGAATTATTGTTGTTATTGTTATTATTATTATTTTTATTATTTTTTTTTTTTAATGAAAATGTTTTTATATAATTATTTATAAGAAAAAAAACTCGAGATTGCTTGCGTTTTATTTCATTTTTAAATAAACAAAAATAAAAACATTTTTCGTTAACAATATTTTTTATAAAAGGGATAAGTTAATGGAAAAAAAAGAAAGAAATTTTATTTTTTTTTTTTAAATAAAACTCAAAAATTGAATATTTACCTTAAATTGTGATGGTGCCCGGTTGTACCGATTTGTGGTTTACGATACAATTCAAAAGCTGAGCCACGCTGTTCACGACTACCGGCCAAATCTAAGGCATAGTGATGATTTCAAAATAGAAGGAAAAGCAAACTATTATACGATTTGCATGTGATTTTGTGATATTATTACAATTATATATATATATATATGTGTATATATATATATATATATATATTTTTTTTTTGCTTTACTTAAGAAGGGAAGAAAACCTTAGTTCACTTTAGAAAAACGCATTAAATTACTTATGGGAAGCGCCATCAAGTATATACAATCAAGTCTATTGTGAATGGCTTGCGATGCAGACCCGATCTCTTAATCTCAAAATTTTTTATTCTCTCATTTCAAATTTTTGCTTAAAAGAACAAAGCTTTTCTTGCCGTTTTTGGCGGCTTAAGTTCGTAAATAACCAAAATCTGTTACACGCATCACCGACAGAAAAGAAGGCAAAGGAACTATATTTTCATATTCTTTAATATCTCGTGGATGCGATTCTTTTTTTCTTTTTATTTTCGGAATAAAAGGGGTAAGGTGTAGTTTATGAATAATAAGCAAAGATGTTTACAGTTTTTTTTGTGTAGACGTGTGTAAGTTACGAGCGTGCCCTTTGATCGATTTAGGTTATTCGCAACTTCGTTTGCATATTTGTAAACGACATCTTCATTATTGCGAGCGAGAGAATATATACCGCTGATAATATACAATTGGACAGACGGACATCTTCGGCTGCATTCCAAATTCGAAACTGCCTAAGAATTTATATATTTTATTGGGCTTAGAAGCTTGCTTTCACACGTTATAAAAGTATTGAAAAAAAATATCAAAGTTCGGTACACTTTTTTTATTGGGTAAGCGACAGACGGACAACCGGACATAAGAACATGATTAAATGGGCTTGGAATTTGATGCTGATCAAGACTATATATATATACTCTGTAGAGAAATTTGCTTCTTTTCTTAAAGTGAAACTTCTAGCTTTAAACTCTGATTTTTGTTGTTTTTTGTTCACTTTCGACCTATTAGTTCCCTTTATTTTCCTAAGTTTCTTTCGATTCTAAAAAACTTCTTTACGTAAACTATTCTCTATTGCTTAAAAAAACAATGCATCTATGACAGGATAGCTCGTTTTGGAAAGTAATGCAGTGTTCTTTCAAGTTCTCGCTTAGAGCATACAACACACAAAAGTATGGTTCGGAAAACTGAATTTAGAAAGATGTTGAGGCATTTTTTGAAGTTTTAAATTTGGCATTGACTATTTTTTTTTCTCCTTGACAACTTACCTATGGGTGGTGGCATGCCACGATGTGGCGCTATATATGGTCCGGTTCCGCTGCCTCCATTATAATGATGACTTGTACCTGCATTACCAGTATTATAACCATTAACGGGTGTAGGATAACCGGGTGTTGCGGGAGGACCGTAATTATTATTTGAGGCATATGTCGCAGATATACTTGTATTACTAGCTGGTCCGTGATGTGGAGAGCCCGGTGTTGCTTGTGGGCCATAATGATGGTGGGAAGGAACAGGAGGATAATAAAAACCATTTGGTGAGCGTGGTGATCCCGGTTCCTGGATGAGAAATACAAATCAACTTTTATGAAACTATTGTAAATCCTTGGAAAATCCGATTTACCCCGGTGTCCCATTGATGTGCAGCACTAGCGTTAGCAGCATTTTGGAGTGGTGGTCTGTAATTTTTCGGTTTCGGTGGTGGTACCGGCTTAAAAGGTCCGCTACCCGAACTACTAGGTGTATTATTACCATTTATATTCGCTGGCGGTACAACCATATGTGACGTTGGAGGCCCCGATGCAGTTTTTGATAATTTATTATAATCAGCTTGTGAAGCAGAGTTACTACGGCTGCATTATGAAAAGAAAAGACATCAAAAATTGAAGGCAACTGTGTGTGTGAAATAATCAGTATAACATATCAAGGACAAGAAAACGGGATACGCTAGAAGAAGAACAAAAAAGGAACGAACTAAAGCACTGGATGAGAGTAAAGGCGACTAACACAAGCAAATGCAAATAAAAGCAAAGAGAGAGAATAACAATAGAGAATGCACTCACTGCTAATAACAAAAAAATATCTCATGAAACTTTTATTTTATATAGCAGAGAGATTTTTATCTTATACCAAGGAAACGATATATGAATTTACTTGGGTATGTTCGTAAGTCGTCCCACGTTCTTTCAATAAAAAAAAGACAAGTTTATACAGCATAGGAACAATAAGAAGAATATTCCTCTTATAATCAATGTATCAATACAGCGCTCTCAGCTAAAGAACTCTAAGCTGAACAACAATTCTCTCATTTGATATCAGACCAAACAAGTTATCAATGGTATGTAAAAGTTCCACCTATGATGGTTTTTTTCAATTTTTTTGTTGACGTTTTGTTTTCATACCTATCTCTAAAGGATGGGAGTGGTAGGGGGGGAGGGGGGAGGGGGCTGCCCGTTTGTCGTTCTCTGAGCCGAAAAAATGAAGCTATCGACTCCAGATTTGGCAAAAACAATGGAAGTTTCTGTACGAAGGTTGGTATTGAAAATGGGCCAATTTAGTCGGAGTCCGTCTACAATATCACGCAAATTGAGAACGTCTCTGTTTTTCAAAAGGAATGCGAAAGGAATGGAATCAAAGGAATTGTGTTTTTACTCATTACTCATAAACTACGAGACATAAATTTACAAAAACGACATTGACCGTGTATCTGTGTATTCTATGATCGATGTTGTACTATTTCTACAATGTTATATTGTGCCATAAATTTACTTTTTTTCGAATACTTTTGTAACTAGCAGAGGAGTGTTTCAAAAACTTCCACAAAGTATGTAAATTCTTAGCTAATTCGAAGTTCGAAATGCACCTAAGCATATTTGTCTGTTCATCTGTCCATCTGTCCGTCTGCGCAACTGTGCAAAGTGAATGGTTCAACGAATTAATGTTTTCTACCCAATTTGTAGCTTGGTCCACTTGTCAATAATCTTCTTCTCTCCCTATTATTATTCATTCTCTTTAGTGCTATTAATTGAATGTAGTAGAGAATAAACAAAGCGGATAGGTTAGAAATGTTTGGGATTGAAGGAAGATACCTCCCTAATTTATTCTAATTACTCATATATTAATACATAACACATAACAATATGTATAACAGTATAAAGGTCGACTTACTCAAGGACATATAATTGGGTTACTATAAAAAATCTTTATGAAAAGAAAAAAACAAAAAAAAATGTACAAACTCTAACATGTCTATGATAAGCAGCACACAGCAGCAAACCATGTATGTATGAATGATAACAAAGTTTCGTAAATTTCGTTTATTAATATGATAAACGTTATTAAACCAAAGTATCATAAGGCGAAATGGACGTTTGCTGTTGTATATATTGCATAATGCTATGTTTCCCTAAAGCGAGCGTTTGTGCCGGATAAAAAAAATCCCGATTATAAGCATATTTGGTAGCGGCGGTAGCGGTGGTAGTTGTTATGGCCGGTCTTAAACAATCTCGTTTAGGATGACATGCATGATGGTATAGAGCTTGCTTTGGTATGTGATATCTTTTAGTTAAGGATATTTGAAAGTTAAATTTTTTTTTTGTAATACATTACGTTTCAGTTGATGTTTTTAAACAGTTAAATTCATTTAAAAAAAAAAAAGCATGCATTGAGTTTTTTTGAAAGAAAAAAAAAATAAAAGTCAAAAATGAGAAAAAAAAAAACGATAATAAGTAAAATTTGTATACATAGTTTTTACTTATTATATTTACAGTATGAGTGTAGAGTGTAATTTAGATTTTATAATCACCACTGTATACTCATTTTGTTATTTTCGATAATGTATATGAAAGCTTCAGAGGCTGTTTAAAGTATACGTATTCTTGATTAACGTGAAATTCGGATTTGATTTAGTCTGATGTCTGCCCGTCTGTGCGTCTGTGTGGTGTTGTGTGTTGTTCGCACTCTCCAGATCGCACAAATGAAAATATCGACTTCAAAACAAAGTAAAGTAACAATAGAAGTTTCTGCAAGCAGATTGATATTGAAAACGGGCCAAATTGGTCGGAGGAGAAGCGCGCAGTCAACTCGGTTTTTTTTTATTAAAAATTATCAGAAATTATTAAAGTTAGAAGACTGCAACTTGCCGCATTTACTTTACGAAATGCTCTACTCTTTAGGTCCAAAAATGATACCATTCGGCCATGCCCACACAAAATTACGAGTAATTACATTTTATTTTTTTCCTTTTTTTAAGGCTTTTCGCCTATTTATCATAAGGCAAACAAACCAGAGTATTTAAAACTATTTTGTATACTCCTCGAATGGAGAGATATTATCGGCCTAAAAATGGGGTCATTTCAAAATGAATAGGGTAAGCAGCGCGATTGATTTTTAATAATACCAGCGATATGGGTATCAAATAAAAAAACTTGGAGAGTAGAATGCGAAAAACATAGTGGTGGTGGTGGGTATGCAAGATTCGGTTCCGCCGAATATAACTTTCTTACTTTTGATATCTTTTTCTTTTTTCGTATTAGTTATAGAATTTCTTAATAAATACCTGTATTTTCCATAATCAGTTTTGGTTTCGACTTTACGGGGACTGCCTTCCAGTCCTAGATTGGAAGGACGCTGCGGTGGACCGGTACGAGGATCTAAAACATTTAAAATTTTTATTAAATTTTACATCAAATAGAAAGTTAAGAAAATAAAACAAGTAAAAAGACTATAGTGAACCGCAGATCAATATAAAATACTCTACACAATTCTACAGTTATTCAAAGATCACTTTTCAACACACATGATCGAAAAATCGAGGTAGAGAAATATTTACCTCATCCTAATGGGTGTGCGCCTAAGCGATATGTGTTATGTTTTAAAAAACTTTCGAATAGCTTAGCTGTTAACGAATCAACTGTTTCTAGACGTCTTTGACGGAAAATGGTATTTTGGAGCCATTCGTTGCAAGAGTTATCCAGGATACACGGTTGAAGTTCGAATGGGAAGTTCTATTATGCCCAACATACTCACCAGATATGGTGCCTCCTGTTTGACTCTTGTTCAGATAAGTGCACCATGACTTGGATGGTAGACGGGGTCGCAAAACTCAAGAAGTGCAATTGAAAATGGGTCGGTGAATGGATTGCTTCCAAAGCAATATAAGTTACCGAAAACATTATAGAAAATGATCGGAAACTCTTTTGATTAATATATATTGCACCAATTTTGCACAATAAATGTCATTTTCAAGTGAAAAAATGTTCACCATTTTTGCAGCCACCTAATAATTTTTAAGAGGCTTAAAACTCTTATTGGTGTAGTTTCTCCATAGTTGTAACTGTAAATTAACTATTGAAATAACCAAACAATTAGAGCAACTAAAAACGCTAAAGTGGGGCAAGGCCACTATGCTGCAATTATTCTTATGACTATTTTCAAAATGAGACTTTATATGGGAAGTGGTCGGAAAAGTGATCCAAACCAAGCCATCTTCTACAGTGCTCGTCTTTGATCCATAGATTGAGCACAAGGAAACAAGACAGACGGACAGACAAGCTTAAATTAATTCAAAAAGTGATTCTGAAACGAACGGTATAATAAAAGGTGGATCTGTCTGAAGTCATCCTATATATTGCATATTTTTAAATTGACCCTTTCTCCTCTTCTTCCTTGGTCGTGTATGCACGAAAATGTCTATCGGAGAATCAATAATAAAGATAAAAATCTCTTCTGATCAATGTAATATTCTAAGTCTTCTTCTTCTTTTTCTATAACTTAACAATGTTTCTCACGCCTTCCGATTTCCCAAAGAATCACTTCTTCGCATTTTGTTTCTTAGTGAGTTTATATTAAAGATATCTGCGTTCAACTGAATCCTCCCGCGTTCGTAGTTAATAAACACAATAGCTGTCCACTGAGCAAATTGAAAAATTTTATATCAAATTTATTCTCGATCGGTCGACTAATACATTCTCAAGTAATAAAATAATTTTTATATAATTTTCTCGAGATATAGCGAACATCGAAGATTATTATAAGAATTTAGGGAAGAAATAAATTTTTTTTTTTTTAATTTAATGAGTTATTTTTTTACCTATATTTCGCGTGGTATTGATATCATGGAAAGGTGGCCGACCGGGACTATTTTGACGATTTAGATCGTTTGCACCGCCAACGCCACCAGCGCCACCACCATATTGACGATGGTCATGTGTAGTGCGGCCGTATTCAGGCTGAGATTGTTGAGCGTTCAAAACTACCGGAGGTAGAGGACGACCAGCACTAAAATTTAAGTTTTTAAGTTTTTTTTTTTCTTTTTCAACAAACATACATACATATATGAATGAATTTATTTGAAGGGTGACTTACTTGGCATTTGGCACTGATTTGAGATCATCGGGTGCATTAGGACCTAAGCGTCCTAAATTTTGCATAGCTAATTGCGTAGCACTGTATGAATCATAGCTGGATACGCTATCATAAGAACCATTGGGTTGAGTCGAAGCAGACGAAGGAGGTGGTAAACTGGCACCGGCCGGTGTTAATAATTTCGATTGCGCAGCATTTAAGCGAGCCTGGCGTTCCAAAGAGGCATGGTGACGTTCAAGGGCGTCCGCCGTCGAGCTATTATTATTACTATTATTGTTAGCGGTACGAGTAATATACTCCGCTTGAACGTCATCGCTAACAATGGCTTTGCCGAAAAGACGTTCCTGCGCTGTACGAGCCATTGTGCCGCCCGAACTATTGGAACGTGACGGTGGCGTATTAATAGGCAATTCACCAGGGCCCGGTTTCGATTGACGATCTATGCGTGGTGGCAGATCGGGAGCATTAATCCCATATAATGATTGAGGGCGATTAGCAGGTGTCGCAGGATCAGAAGACGAATAACCGGCAACGCCACCGCCGCTAATACCATACTTTGATGTTTCCATAGTTTGGCGACGATTTGTCGGGTTGACAGCATGATCGTACGGAATCTAAAAGGTCGGTTTTTTTTTTATTTTGTTTGTTTTTTTAAAGAAACAATAGAAAAGAGTTTTGAATAAATTTGGTGTCTTTGCGCAGAGTGTTTGGATAAAAATTTGAATTTTGTGACAAATAGAACTTAAGAAGACATACATGAAGATATGTTTTTTTTTTTTGGTTTTTGTTACTGTGTATATAAAATTGTTCTTATGTATATATATATAATGTTACTTTTTTTTTTATTTTCATAATTTTTTTCATGATGAGAAGGTAATTTGCCTCTTACCGTATATGGAGGTGGTAGTCCTTCACCAATTATGTCTCTGTCCCTATCCAAGTTGTCCTGATTAGTGGCAATCGATGGATCTGAGCTGGACTTAACCAATTGCGGTAAATTGCCGAGCGACAGAGATGCTGACGGCCCAGGACTTAATTCCAAATCGGATTCAGGACTGGATGCATACGACAAACGGGATGTGGTCATAGGGAATAGGAAATCATCCGAAAGGGACTCAACGGGCTTGATTGTTATTGTTAGTGTTATTATAATCATATTTTGTTTTTTTTTTTTTGTCAAAGGAAATAAAATTGAAAAGAATTGTGGAGGGGGTATATTTTGGGTGGGGGGGGGGAGGTGAAAGCAATAATTTTCAATGAAAAACAGAATATATAGCAACAAACGCAACGTAAACGTAAGACAAGATAACGTGAACGAAACAAAGCATAAAAAGGAAGAGATAAAAATAATTTTGCAGAAACACGTTTGATTGCCAAGCATATGCGGGTTGTTTTCAAATGAATTTATTTTGTTGTTGTTGTTGTTGGTTTTTTTTTAAATATAAGGACGGACACATTTTTTATATAAAAAAATAATAAGAGACAATGGACAAAATTTTACAAAACGAAAAGCATATGTTAGTGGAAAAGACAAGATTAGTTTTTTTTTTTTTTTTGTTTTTTGATAGGTTGTCATAGGGAATGATTGTAAAGCGAGGAAATGACCATGATGTTGATGAAAATTTTTTTGTTGTTGTTGGTGGATATGTATTTTTAAGGTGTATAAATTTATAGATAAACAAAGGAAGACACATTTTTTATATAAAAAAATAATAAGAGACAATGGACAAAATT